CACACACACACACACACACACACACACACACACACTCTCACACACTCATAAATACACACACAGATACACACACACACACTCTCATACACACACACACGTAAATATACACATAAACACACAAACACACACACAAATAGACACACACACACTCGCACACACCACATACAAATTGGTACTTGTACATGCATTGTAAATGAAGGATTATTGGATTGAGTTTATCACAATACCGGTAATCCATAACAATATGTATCCTGGTACCCAACCTAGAACCCGTGAATGCTTGTCTGATTTCTAAAGAATTTTTATAGTTTGAAAGTGAAGTTAAAGACTCTACTTGAAAACGAAGTACTACACGTATTTTAATTAGCAATTTTTTAATGCATTTTTTCACCAGAGTTTGGAGGTCAAATCAGAATCAGGATGGTTGGAATTGGTAAGTGGATGGTTGCATTTGATGACTAATCTTTACTGAAGTATCGCTTTTCTTTTGTAAAAGACTAAATAAGTTGGGAAAGATCCGAAAGGTACCTAGGGTGTGGAATGAGAGATAATAGCGTGGGATACATCATCATTTACCTTCTGTCAAACACTATAAGACACATAACACATTATATCTGCTATTGATAAGAAAATAATTATAAATAATAGGCCTATATATTACTTATGATAATAATACTATGTCAGTGTGGAAAGGGGGATTGGGGGTTGGGAATATAGGGAGAGGAAAATGGGAGGGTTGGAAAAGAGAACAGCACCAGTATAAAAGCCGGGGGGGGGGGGAATGCTGCTTCACCTCTATTCCCTTATCCATTCTCAAATTTAACATTATATCATTTATCACTGTTACTGAATCAGTTGGGTTTGTTTTAGTCAAACGATAAGATAAAATAAGACAAGATAAGATAATTCTTCATTGCTCTGATCCTGACACATTGATGAAGAAAACAGCACAAGGAAAAAAATTGCTGCTCTATTCCCTTATCCATTCTCAAATTTAACATAAATATTTTAATGTCTATATATAATAAGGTAAACATTGGTATGATCTCTTTACAGTTCAATCTTTTTTTTCCCTTTCTTTCAGTTTACTCCGCCTTTGGTAGCAGCTGATGGTTCCAAATATTTCTGGATTTTGCCTCAGAGAGAAGGAGAAGATGGTTTCTATAAACATGTTGCAATGATTGAGTTCAGAGTAAGTTTTGTGTTGTACTTTGAATAGCACATGATATTTAAAAAATCTTTTTAATCTTCGCATGGTGTGACAAATGAGAACGAAGCTTTGATGAAGATGACTGTTTTTGCTAATATTGCTGATAATTCTGATGTTCTTAATAAAGTGAATGATAATATTCATTATGAGCTGTTTTGAGGAAATATATATATATATATGTGTATATATATATATATATATATATATATATATATATATATATATATATAGAGAGAGAGAGAGAGAGAGAGAGAGAGAGAGAGAGAGAGAGAGAGAGAGAGAGAGAGAGAGAGAGAGAGAGAGAGAGAGAGAGAGAGAGAGAGAAATATAATAGGCCTACAACAAAAAATGGAGGCTTGCATTAACTTATTAATATGTGAATTATGTTCATTTAAATCTTAATGCACATGCCTCTCTACGTCCTTACAAATTTATTAAAGTTTATTTCTCAGTTTGATTTCTCAAGTATAAGTGCAATAAACTTTTCTGAACTATTTTCCTGAAAGAAACAGACTTTCGTATCAAATTTTAAAAACGTGTTAACCTCTTACTGCTGTGCAGATGTATGTACTAGATTGAGTTCTCTATAAAATGGTTGCTAGAATTTAAAAAAAATAGTATTTTGCTATGTGCCTGTAAAAGATGGACTGAGAGGTGAAACTACCACATGTGCAGTTATTTTAATTAATATTTAATAAGAGCTAAGTTATTATGGTTTTGTTTATATATCTTTTGAAAGAACATCACAATTTACCTTGTCTGTACAAACAAAGAAAGAAATGTCTCAGCATAGAAGGGGTTAAAATTATTTTTCTCTTTTTTTCACAACAGGAGTGGAATCAGATGGATCGGAAATCTTTTCTCACTGATGGAAAGTGGGTCGTATCAACACTGGTCAATTACAATGAAGAAAAAGATATGCTGTAAGTTTTTCATTTTGTCTTGCCTTGTTTGTGATTTAGTCTTTTTATCTATCTATCTATCTATCTATCTATCTATCTATCTATCTATCTATCTATCTTACTATCTATTTATCTATCTATCTATCTATCTATCTATCTATCTATCTATCTATCTATCTATCTATCTATCTATCTATCTATCTATCTATCTATCTATCTATCTATTTATTTATTTATTTATTTATTTAATTATTTATTTATTTATTTAATTATTTATTTAACTATTTATTTATCAATTTACAAATTTTCCGTTTTTGTAGGGGTGATCTTTTAGGATAAAAAAGGGCTACGTTGTTAGTTTTGGGTTATAAAACATAGTAGCTTGCAATATGTTACTTTGAATAGAAGGTTGGCATGCTGTATACCTCTGAAAACTGCATTTAGTACTCAATCTGATAAAATAACTCTCAGCACCGTACACATTCATTCAAAACACTGTAAACAGTTGAAATAGGTCACCAGATCCTGCCAAATAGATTCGGGAATTTCCTTAAGAGCAGATGATGCAGTCATTTCAATGCTTTTCTCCCTTTGGCATTTCCAGCATGGGTCTGTTAAGATTTTCTCAAATTGCCAAGTTATTGTGCAAGATAATTATATGATATATATGACGAGTAGAAATGGTGTGTATATCACATAATGAAGAGATTTTGGGCATATTGTTTTTGAATTTGACAAAATTCTTGGTTGTGTTATCAGAGCGGTTTTTAACTAATGTATATGTTTGATTTTTTCAAACCATGCATAAAATAGTCTTAAATATCATGTTTTCTTTTCATTATGACGCATCCCAGAGAAAATCTGAAATCATAAAAAATTCAAGACGGCCACCATGGTGACCACATTTTTTGCGAAAATTAAAAAATTCTTCGAACATGTTTTTTACATGACCCTTCAATGTCACTGTAGTCATGTTTCAAGATACTGCTGTCACGAACAGCAAAAATAGTAAAATCTATTAGTGCTTGCCTTAACAACAGTAGTAAACAGATTTTTTTTCTTATATTGAAATACGCATATAGATCTAATACTCAATGTAAGCCTTTTTTTTATTTACCGCAAACACGAAAACATTTGTTAGAGCTGGGGAAGGTGTCAGTCTTCCGGGAGGTATACTCTAGGATAATATTTAAGAGATTTGCCTTAACAAAACATCTTTAAATGTGTTTTTGTTGTGAGCAGATTATCTCCTTAATTTTTACTCTGATATCTTTTACAGATACTATCTGACTCCCCACATTGATCCTCGTCAGATGCATTTGTACAGGTATGGTATTCAGTTATCTATTTGTCTGATTTTGCTTGAAATAATATCTTGTAAGACACAGATTAGGTTTATTTGAAAGCTCAGAGCATCCCACTTAATAGGTTTATGGAATCTTTTTATTTTAAACTAAATACGGAGAGGAAAATGGAACAAATATGCTTGGAAGTATAGGACCATCATACCTCTCAAAATTAGGGAGTGGACTAAAAGTCTTGTATGTAAAGTTGTAATGACTCAACAGTGGGCACAGACGACACTGTTTTTCCATGTACTAAAAGGTGAATGCCTTAAGGAAAATCTTTCATTATTGCTTAAAGCTTCTCTTCTTGTGCTTCAGTGTGGAAGTTTCAATCAAGCAAACGAGATGTCTCACATGTGACTACAGCAAGGACTGTCTATACAACGAAGTATCAATGTCTTCCACAACAGACTTCTACATTCTCAAATGTTTAGGACCTGGTGTTCCGAAATATTCTCTCATGAACATTGATGGGACTGAAAGTGAGTAGAAAACTCTGATGATATGAAAGTGAGTAGAAAACTCTGATGATATGAAAGTGAGTAGAAAACTCGGATGATATGAAAGTGAGTAGAAAACTCGGATGATATGAAAGTGAGTAGAAAACTCGGACGATATGAAAGTGAGTAGAAAACTCTGACGATATGAAAGTGAGTAGAAAACTCTGACGATATGAAAGTGAGTAGAAAACTCTGACGATATGAAAGTGAGTAGAAAACTCTGACAATATGAAAGTGAGTAGAAAACTCTGACGATATGAAAGTGAGTAGAAAACTCTGACGATATGAAAGTGAGTAGAAAACTCTGATGATATGAAAGTGAGTAGAAAACTCGGATGATATGAAAGTGAGTAGAAAACTCGGATGATATGAAAGTGAGTAGAAAACTCGGATGATATGAAAGTGAGTAGAAAACTCGGATGATATGAAAGTGAGTAGAAAACTAGGATGATATGAAAGTGAGTAGAAAACTCGGATGATATGAAAGTGAGTAGAAAACTCGGGAAAACTCGGATGATATGAAAGTGAGTAGAAAACTCGGATGATATGAAAGTGAGTAGAAAACTCAGATGATATGACAAATAAATTGTTTGTTTGCTTTTTACACTCTGGGAACAAAAAAAATTCAATAAAAAGTGAACTAAAACACATTTATAATGTTCTAAATGACCTGCTGAAAGTTTGAACATAACTCTTAGTAAACGGTGTAAATAATGATCCCATGTGGTGTCTTGTTTAACCAGACATGGTTCACTTTTTTAAAAATTTTGTCAAATTTGACCACCAAAATAAATCTCTTGAGTGTTATCTTTGCTTACAACCCTCAATATTATCACAATGGGAAGTAAGGAGAAAAGGATTTGTTTAAAGCTAAACGAAGCGCTTTTTAAAAAGGTAAAGTAAATGAGTTTTTTCTTTGAAACTTTTATCCTTTCCTGCTTTCTTTCCAACTGCATCTTTTAAATGTGTTTCAAAGAAAAGGCATTTCATATTAAACAGTTGTAACTCTGCATTGCTACCTTCTTTGTTCAGTACAGGTTGATATTAATTTGTGAGCCAAGCTGACGAATGGAGTTATTTCTTGCAGTCCCTGAATGAAGTTGTCGACTATATACATAGACACATCAAATCAATATATTTTTAACTGATGCCATTTTCTTCAAGTTGAATATTATGTCTTTTATCATTGAACAATATATATTGTTCAAACCCAACCTCTAAATTCCATGTATCTATCCGTGTCCACTGGGGTAACAACCGAGATTTAACTCATTTTGTTTGCACACCTCACTTTTTGTTAAAAGTTTTTGATTTCTCTTTCAGTTGAAAGAATGGAGAACAACACTGCAGTAGCAGCGAGACTCGCCAAGAAAGCCTTGCCATGGATAAAATATGAACAGATTGAGCTGGACACTGGAGAAAGTAGGTTACTTTACTTTACTTTACTTTACTTTACTTTACTTTACTTTACTTTACTTTACTTTTCTTCATTTTACTTTACTTTACTTTACTTTACTTTACTTTACTTTACTTTACTTTACTTTACTTTACTTTTCTTTATTTTTCTTCATTTTACTTTACTTTACTTTACTTTACTTTACTTTACTTTACTTTACTTTTCTTCATTTTTCTTTACTTTACTTTTCTTCATTTTACTTTACCTTACTTTACTTTTCTTCATTTTACTTTACTTTCCTTTTCTTCATTTTACTTTACTTTACTTTACTTTTCTTCATTTTACTTTACTTTACTTTACTTTTCTTTATTTTACTTTACTTTATTCTTTCCCTTGCACCTCTAGGGTATTGAGGGGAGAGCTTTTTGTCTCTAGCAAGCTGGATGGGCTGCCTGGGTGGGATGTTGTCCGTTTTCAGGATATCCTTCACACCCTCGATCCAGGTTTTCCTTCGTCTTCCTCTTGCCTTCTACTCTGATATTCTTTTGTGGTATGCTTTACTGGCAAGCTGGTGAGGTGCGTACAGGTCAGATGTCCAAACCACCTGAATGTTTGCCTCTGAATGTAGGTTGATAGTGTAAAATAGATTCTAGGCTTTATAGGAGGATGAATGTCTCAACAAACAGTCATTTCTTGGAGTACCTTTCCTTTTTGTAAGCTTAATATCATGGGATTTCTTTTCTTTTTTTTTTCTTTTTTTTTGGCGAGGGGGTTTTCGGGGGTGGGGGGGGGGGAGGTGTTTAATTATAGAAGAGGGAATACTTGAAAAGAGTTATAATGAAATTATAAATATGAAATGAAACAATGTATGCTAAAGATGTTCAGTATGATGAATTCAGAAAGTGAGCAGCGTATGTAGCATGAATGCCAACAACTGGCTAAGGTTATTCTAAGACTTGATAAGTAATATTATCCTTTACTTATCGTCTCCTTTAGAACAATTTAGATCTAATAAATGAAATCAAATAGGGTTGGGAATACCTCTTTGGTGTAGACAAGATAATATGCTGAACAAGAGAAATTGAAAATTACTACTACTGATAGTAATTAATAGATGTTTGAATTCATTATTTAGAAGTGCTCAAGTAAAGTATTGATTTTATCATTTGAGGTAACAACAATATGAAATTGTGAAAAGTTAGTGACGATTATCTTTCTTTCTTTTTTTGCCAGAAATGTGGGCAAAAATGTATATGCCGCCAGTTCTGAAGACGGAGGAGACTTTGAAATACCCTCTGCTGCTTCATGTGTAAGTTGTAAACCTTGAGTGGTTATGTTTTTTCTTTTGCTTCTTCAGGTCCTGATTAAACAAAAGTCATGCCTTTAATTACGCTTTTGTAGAAACCCTTTGCCACACATTGCTTCTTGTGGGCTCTCGTGGCCTAGAGGTTAAGGTGTTGGCCTCTCAATCAAAAGGTCCCGGTTTCGAATCCGGGTAGCGACCGAAAAATTTTCTTCCCTAAATTTGTCTAGTTTCACCTCATCTCCTGCTCTCTAGCAATGTTCTGTCGTCTGCTTTCGTCTCCTCTTTCTGCCCCCACCCCCTCACCTCCTTTGCCCCTTCCTCTGGACTCCTGATTCTTTCTGCAGCCTTTCTACTGCTACTCCTTCACTTCTTCTTACTGCTGTCTTTCAGCCACACCCCTGATCTTCTGGTAGGAAAGATCTACACCTTGCCTTCTCGGACAAGGGCGAAAAATCTCGGAGGTCCCGTGTGCAAGTTGCGCACGTTAAAGATCCCTTGGTGGTCTAAAATCGATAAGAGTAGGCTTCGGCCGCCACCCGGGCAAAATTCAAAATTTCCTACCAACTGAAAATATTAGGTGTGTCCCGCGCGCTCATATGACCTTATGCAGTTGCGAGCGCCGTAAAACACTTTATAAAAACAAAAAACATTGCTTCTTAATTTTATCACAGGATAGTGAAACATTAATCTGAACGCTCATATATTTTGGTGAAGCATACTGAGAATGAACAATTACAATATAATTATGCCTAATCTCAATATTCCATGACACTCTCTGACAGATATGGTGGGCCAAATTCTCAGATGGTCACAGAAAAGTATTCTGTTGCCTGGGAGACATACCTGACCAGTTCAAGAGACACAATCGTTGCCATGGTTGATGGTAGAGGTTCAGGGGGACGTGGCGACAAGTTCCTCCATGCCATTTACAGGAAATTGGGCTCATTTGAAGTTGATGATTCCATAACTGCAGCTAAGTGAGTAATATTTTTTGGTGCCTGCCATGTTGACTTCAGAAATTTAAAGTAGTAAAATTTACAAATTCTTGCTCAGTGTCTTTTTTTCTTTATGCAGATTTCTTTTTTTTTTTTTTGTGCGTGCATATTTTTCTTTTTGAAGTCCGTGAGAGGGAGAGAGAGAGTCTCAAAAAGGAAGAGTACCACTTTGAATAAAGAATAAGGTTTTTCCCCTGGTTATCCTCCTGAAATAAGTTTTTGTTTTTGAAGTCATACTTTTCATCAGGACAGTAGGAGGAGCATTGTACAGATGTAGTCTGCTTCTTTTCAGATCAGAGTGGTCCTTATCTCCTACACTGAAGAGGTTTGGTTTAAAGGGTAGCCTACCTTTATCTGTCTGTGATATGACCTTATCATTACAGGGTTAAGTTAAGGAGTACATCTATTGTTCTGTGGTGTTAACTGTTCATTACAGGGTAGATTTTAGGAATACCATAAGTACATGATGTGAACTTATCATTGTAAGGTTGAGTTGTGGGGTACCTTTATTAGCCCAAACTGTGAACTTTGTATAATGATATTAATGAGTCCCATCCTCTTCTTTTGCTCCAGATACTTTGAGACGTTACATTATGTGGACGAAAAAGCCATGGCCATTTGGGGTTGGGTAAGTTTGTGATAAAACATTTTTCTTTTGTTATAGGCAGTAGCAGGTTTTCTTGCGTTAAATTTAATTTCACCTTGAAGGTTTGAATTTGCCATCGATACTCACCAGCACACATCTTAGAGATAAATTTGGTTTTCTTCCTATTAGTAATCAGATAAAAAATCTAATTCTCAATTCTAAGGAAAATTGCATGGTAGAGTTACTGATATGCACAACAGAAAACCCTGTTATAATAACTATTTAAAAATGCTTTGGAGTTCTTAAACTATACTCACATATACAAGTCTATTGGTAAATTGGTAGGGGTAATTTTGTTTCTTTGGCCTAGCTTGAACCTACGTGTTTTTAATGCACTGTGCCATGTTCCTTTAGGAATTTCCCTCTACAGCATTTTTGCTTAAATGTTAAACCTTCCAAGCCACATAGATGTACCTGGCATGTCATGGAATTATGCAATCCTATCTTGACCTACCAGTAAACGCGTTGTATCAAAAGGTTAAACAGTAACTGTCTAATTACTCTGCTTTCCTATTCTGTTGAGGTATGGTTTTATAATGTCTTGTAATATTTCATCAGTTCGTCAATTTGACAAGATTTTAGCCCTAGTCTTTTTCACTATCTTCAAGATTTAAGTAGGATGGTGGTTGTCGGGTTTTCATGAGGGCCCTGGCTACTTAAGAACTGAAGTCAAAGCATAGATAGATACAAAAGTATAGATTATTAGCTGTTGAAGTAAATCATCATGTAAATGCAGTTTATCTAATTTCTGCCTTGATGCTTTGCTTTTTAAACGTTGTTCTTGTTGTAAAAGTTATGTCTTCTAGATGCAACTCATCTGGGATTTTGAGAGACTGATTACTTGGCCTCCCATCTGAGTTCTAGAGTTGTAAGAAATATTTATCAAAGAGCTAGAAATATGTTACATACAATTTCATAGAAATTTACTCTTTGATTTTTTATATTTTCCTTTTTGTTTCTGTATTGACAAGGGCAATATTCAGTCATTGATTTCGTATTACAGCAGGAAATATTGAAATACTACAACAGAATGACAGCTGGTACGACCAGATTGATGAACAAAATAATTGTTTTTTTGTTCTCCTTTACCAGTCTTATGGAGGCTATGTAACAGCAAGTGCTTTGGGACGTAAAGAGCATCCCTTCAAATGTGGCATCTCTGTTGCACCGGTAACAGACTGGATCTATTATGGTATGTGTTTACATAATTTGTTTTTTCAAAACAGAAACAAAGAAAATTTTAATTTGTAATACCTTGAATCTATGATATGAACTCATCTCCAGTCCAGTGTGTGTGTGTGTGAGATGTGAAACTTGCTCTTAAAAAAACCCACTTTCTTCTAAAAATTAGTATTTGTTATCTAAACTTTTTTCAAGACTCTGTCCGTCAATCTGTGATAGACTTCCATTTCTTCTTCGATACAATTTTTATCGACGTTATATGTGACATCACCTGACTTAAAACTCTTTCAACTCTATCCGTACATCGTGTTTTACTCTTGTATCCTTACAACGTTGGGAACTCTGTGCCACCACTTTCAAAAGAGAAAATTTACTCGTTAATCTGATCCGTACGCTTTGCATAGCAGTTTGTCAAAATGAGTTTTTGAGAAATACTGAAAGTTTTAAATAGATCTTCGTACTTCGTACTAGAAGTATTCTAAATGTGAAGAATACAACCCTGGAGGTACAAAATGACCCCAGGGCGAACAGATAGGGTTAAGATTCAAGCCAGTTTCGTGGGTGGTTGCTAACACTCTAATGGTTTGTGCCTTTTTACCTATCATCCTTATCCCTCCTCTTCTTGTCTCTGTATGCTACTTTCTAGCGACATTTTTAATTATTATAATCCTCAATGCTTATATTATCTAAATGTGTTACGGTACCGGTAATAAAACTTTTAAAAAAAGCATTTTAAGATAAGATGTTCATCTTTATCGTCCAGATCCTGGCACATTGGTTTGGTGCTTTAAAAAAGCATTTTAAGATAAGATGTTCATCTTTATCGTCCAGATCCTGGCACATTGGTTTGGTGCCACGTACACACACACACACACACACACACACACACACACACACACACACACACACACACACACACACACACACACACACGCACGCACACACACACACACACACACACACACACACACACACGCACACACACACACACAACCATACACACACACACACACACAAACATGCACATGTTCGCTCATGCATGTGCATGTGCTCACCCATATATATACACACACACACTCTCTCACACGTCCTCTCCTCCTCACACATCTGTGCACATAGCCATAATAATACAATAGTAGGCTGTGCTTGCACTCACAAACAGGCTCACAGTCACATGCATGATATAAATGAACTATGTGTTTATTTGATTTGCTTATGAGCTTTCGCTTTTTTATGTCAGACACCATCTACACTGAGAGATACATGGGCCTTCCTACCACAGATGACAACATTGCTGCCTACAAGGTACAGTCAATGCTGGTCCCAAGTTCTAACATTACACATACTTGCAACAAGGTCATCTCTACTGCTCTTTGCTTTTATGAAAGCTACTCTTTCCCAGCACAAAGCTTTTTGAGATATCTAGCATTCTTTCCTCGTTAATTTGTATACGGTAGTTTGATTTTCACTAATCAAAGAAAGCCATGTATGTACGACAGTTTTCACTAGCTCTTTTTTATGTTCTTTACAGTGTAGGCCTACATAACAATATTTTGATTATATTTTCCATTTTAAACATGTGAAACAACTTTTTAGATATAATCACTAATAAAATATACAAGTCTAAATACTTATATTTATATAGTCATGAATGTTTAATGCATTCCGTGATTGAACTTCATGAAGCTTTTCTTTTCATTGACCGGAAAATAATGTTACCTGTTCTTACTTTTTCATTGTATGAAGCATGTATGAACAATTTTGTAAAATTCTTTATTCAAACAGTTATACAGGAATAACAATAAAACACTTTCTTTTTTGACAAAAATTGCAGAGAAGTTGTACTTGAACTACTACTACAGTCTTAAGTCTTTTCTATCAATCTGTCCAACTCATTTCTTGCACAAAATGACTATTAGGGACTACTATATAATTATGCTTATTTTAACTCAGACTTTACAAAAAAACTTAGGTTGTTTACATGATCTATCCTCCTCAAAAATTTGGTCTGGACTATTTTTGTGCTTCAATATGGATGTGGCAGCCGGTTCTGCTGAGCATGTTTATTTCATTTTGTCTTATAGATCTAGTTATGGAGGTCTCTTAAAAATAATCTTTGCTCCTACTATTTGATGTATGTCCCTAAAGATTGCAGATCCTCTCCGTGCCTTTTTCAGATGTTGCATTTTGGGACTGTTGAAAATATTTTTTGTCAACTGCATCTAATACTATCATTTTTTTCTTGTCCATCCAGTTTGCCAATGTTTCTATGTACGCTGAGAATTTCAAAAAGTCTTCATTCATGCTGGTACATGGAACTGCTGATGGTAATTATTATTTTACAATTTTCCTTTTATTAGGTTCCTAAAGATCCAAATATTTACTTTTCTTTTTAATCAACACTATATTTTTCACTATGAGGTTAGATTTTTACATCTGTTTTTGACTTTACCATTGTTCTTCTATGTGTTAGCTATACAAAGGAAGAAAAGATGAAAACTACGAGGTAAGAGATGTGTAGATGTGTCATGACGCAGTGGAATCAGGTGCTTGTCAATTTTTTTGCAAGTAGAGTTATTGGTATCACCTGAAAGCTTTTTCATTTGTCTTGCTTTTGATATAAAAAAAGGTATCCATTAATCTTGAAAACAAATCGAGATATTTGTGACTGAAACAAGTGGGGTACTTGCCTGGTCTCACAGGTAAAATTAATTCGAAAATGGCCACTAAAGTTTGATATTTCCTTAGCTTGAGAGTCCCTGGAAACAGAAAATTTACACTTTTATACCTTTTATTGACGTTTTTCAGTAGGCTACAAACCTCACAGAAATGTGTTCTTTTAATGACATGAAAAGTGTTGAGCTAAAAAACAAAAATTGGATAAAAATTCACAATCCTGCAAAAAAAAGCTAGTTTCTTGACTTTGATTACTTTGATGAGCCCCTGATTTCACATTGCTGTATCACAAATTATCTCAGTGAAGGTTGGTTGAAAAAATTATTTTACTCTATCGGAATATCCAAGATTTTAGAACGTCCAGTTGTATTTCTTCATGAAGTTAGTATTCTGATCAATATCCACATTTCTTGCTCAGTTTGTGCACAATGTGTTTGAACTGACATGAGAATGGCATCCCAGAAGTTTCAAATCCGATCAATATTTTGCTTTCAGATAATGTCCACTTCCAACAATCAGCCCAGCTAATGAAAGCACTTACTGAAGCTGATGTGTACTTCAGGTTTTTGGTAAGTACACTACCTCAGAGTTACAAAGTTCTATCTGCTCAATGCAAATTTGACGTGAAAGATTTTGAGTTTCACAATATGTAAAGCTTTTTCAAATGTAATTCTTTGGATATCTTGATAACGACTCCGATTAATCTTACGATGTTGATAGAGCATAATATGAAATATTTAGTTTCTGACCTCATGGTCTTAGTAAATCAAAACGGCCAAAAATGTCAGATAAAACTTTGTAATTCTGAGGTAGCGAGGTGCCTTTACTCCTATAGATGTGGTATCTCTCTTGTTTTATGTTTGTTTTAGTAGAGGTTTTACGGATCTCGCAACTGCATAAGGTCATATGAGTGCCAGAAGATTAGAGGTGTTACTAGAGAGTAACAACCATAAAAAAGAAGGGGAGATAAGGACAATATAGGTTTGATAGGAAAGAAGAAGCAAACCACACCAGAGCACCCGCCAACCACCCACTGGTAACTCTCTGTCTACTTTAAAAACCTTACTTAAATCAGTGACTTTTGCAATTTCACCTGCTCTATAATATAGTTATTGCTGTTTTTTTACTCAAGCTTAAGTGGCTTCTGTAGCCTACTATAGCCAGATTCCTGAATCACCTTAACCCATCCATGACACAGAGTTAGTTCATGCTTCACCAGGCACAATTTTGTGTCGCCCGGGGCAAAAAATAACTCTAGATTTAGTGGTCAATTGCCTAAAATTAGACCTGACTTGTAAATACTTCTAACTATCTCTAAAAGGGAAGGATTTTTTTTCTTTTTTTTTGTATGGTAAAAATACGGCTGAGTGTGAATCTGCTATTAGTTTTACGAAATGCATAATCTAATAGAAGTTGTATGCAGAATGCAACCTAAGATGAACGGCATTCATCACCATGGTCCTTGTGCTCCGCAAAGCATGACGAATGCAGCATTTTGGCTCCTTCACCGTTTTAGAAAAAACGACAGACATTAGTATTTTAAAAAACATGTCATATTATAGGTCATGAAAAGGTTAATGTGTCAATAAAGACATAAAACTAATACATTCACAATCAGTACCAAATCTATGCTTTGGATGGTACCTACTCATACCTATTTCCCCCCTCTCTTCGCAGATGTACCCAGACAAGAATCATATGCTGGTTGGGGGAAATACTCAGAAGCACCTATATGCACAGATGGAAGACTTTCTTATCGAGTGTTTTGATGGAGCCTCTGAGTTATTTGGAATATCTGCTTCTGGAGGGACTGAAGAGTCTTAATGATAATTAATTTTGCTTAGATAGTATGCACATTTATGTCAGTGGGGATGTATGATGTGTGTGTAAGTGTGTGTGTGTAAGTGTGTGTGTGTGTATGTATGAATGTGCGTATGTGTGTATGTATATGTGTGTGTGTGTGTGTGTGTGTGTGTGTGTGTGTGTGTGTGTTTGCGTGTGTGTGTGAGTTTGTAAATGTTTGTATGTATTTTGAGTGCAATTGAGCGACTAAAACTGTTGGGCATAGAAACCTTTGTCTTATTACGATAGGTGGTGTGAGCATGTATAACACACGTGTAATGGAGGATGAAAGTTCTTGAAGTTTGAACTGTGCAATGATGGCATTGCTTATTTTGCATTAATGAGATAGGGCCTCGTGATTCACCTGAGACTCAGGTGATGTTTTACATGTGTGTGAATGCATTTAATTGTATGAGTATTTCAGTCGATGTCTGGTTTTTGCAAGATGTAGGTCTAGTGTTTCCACCTTTCACTTGAAAAGTGAAGGAGACAAAGGGCTGTTTTTTGCTTTTTATGTTTGTTTTGTAATTATTCTCAAGATTATTATTCAGAAGACACACCTTTCCAATCCATCCATTTCCATGTGACTACAAATTTAGTTTCGAATGATGGGCAAGTGTTTTGATAAGTTGATGCAATATTGCATGAATGTCTGCGCCTACTAAGACATTTAGTTGGTATAATCTGTGAAAAAGGATTTTGATGTCAAACTCTAAAATTTGAAATGATTCTTAAGTCAAAAGTGTGCGCCTGTCTTGATGCATTATGTTCCATCCGAAATGTGTATGAATGCACAATTATGTACTTTGCTCTTGCAAATGAAGTTCTATAGACACTCTACCTTTTTTTACTTTCAATCATAATAATCATTTTATCAACGTGGAACTTAAAAGTCATCATAAAGTCAACATAACTTACCTAAAGAAACAGGAATGTGAATAAAATTTACCATGTAGATTTGTAACTATGAATAATATCAAACTAATCAGAATCTTTTTGTTCATTAATTCTATGCATTAGATTGATGCTTTGTAATTTGTAATAATTATTACATTTACAAATTTGTTTTTTAGCTGAGTTCATAGGAGGAAAAATGATTTTCTGGGAAAGTGAGGAACTTGCTCGAGAATCCTAGTTTGTTTTTGTATCTTGGAGTCCGTGACCCTATGAGAATACGACTAAGGCATTCGAAGACCGTCCTACTTAATTAAGTTGTGTGCACTCTGCAAGGAGGAAGTATAGCCCAATAGTGTTCAGTTATCAAAGTGAGCATTCTAAAGGGTCTAAATGTATATATACAAAGAACAGGTTCTTTGAATTGGTATTTTTGTGTACATAATGTGAAAGCGAAAAGTTACTCAGTGTTTTACTATCTGCTTTGCTTCTTATGGATCAAACTTCGATGCTTCACAAATTGACAGCTCTACTGATTAATTTAGCTTATATCAGGGGTTAAATGAAATCGGTAGTAGAACTGCCCAGTTGAGAATTTTAGCCTTTGGGTTGTGAAGTTGTGAAAACAGAAGTACTGTCATATCTGAGTAACACTGCACTAAGTTTGGTGGGGATTGGGAGGTGGGGGGGGGGGGAACTAAGATAGATTCCTAGTGAGAATTGTCACATTCTGATGGATTAATCTTTGTACTTGTTGAAAACTAAACCAGGTCGGTCCTTACTCTGACAATTATCACTTTGTTGTATACATTTATTTTGTTTTAATTAATTGGCTCTCAGATTTGTGTAGAGAGAAGTCTTTCTCACGTCGTAAAAGCTTATCATTACAAAATATATTGTTTAATTGCTAACATCTTTATAAAAAGATCCATATTTTGTGAGAAAAAAAATCTTTTGTGCTTGTATGATCAACATCTTGCACATTATTTTTTCAAAATAGAGCTAAGAGTTGTAAATCATGAGCGGAGTATTACCACATGAAGTTTGCAAACTGCTCTACAATTATGATAATTTGACTTGCCTTTTTGATGGAAGCATTGCACTCTTCCTTCACTCAGTTTGTGATATTCTGTACCTTTCTTCACCACAAATTTCTGTGTTCTCCAGCAGCATTTCTTACGTCTTCTCATGACCTTTATTTTATCTGCATAATATATTACACAATAACGGTTGTTCGAACCGTTTGTATTTTATCACAGTCTGCACAGTCATTCCTGACTTATACATGATTAAAGAAAACTTTTTCTTCTCCTTCTGTGTTCCTCTTGTAGAAAGAAATTTTTTCTCCCATTTGTGTTTTTGGCATTTCTGTCCCCTTGGGCTGCCAGAAAAATGTTTTATCTTCCTACCTTTGTCCTTTCCTCACCCACTTCTCCAGTGCAGTTTGAGTTATGCTGCTTATTTGAGATGAATTTGATTAAGTAATATTTTCACCTGATGATGAATCAAAATTAGTGTAATCAAATAGAAGGCTGTGCTTGCTGAAAAAGATTGCAAAGGCATTTTATCAAGTAGACCTATGAATATCCATTAATTAGTATGAGCATATTATGTGTAGGACTGCGTTCCATTTATAAGAATAGGTTCCACCACACTTTTTCCTGTGGTACTTTATAATGAACTAGAGTAAACTAAAATTATGTAAAAGCACCTACTTCCTCTAGGTTTTTCTTGCAGCAAATTTTGAAATATGAGTATTAAACCGGAATGATTACTATTTTTATTCCTTTTTGGTTTAGCTTTGTCGGGATAGCAATATGTCAATGTATGTTTGGGGAAAAAAGATTTGGCAGAGGGTGCTGGTTTGTTGGGGGTTTTTTGGGGTTTTTTTTGGGGGGGGGGTATTTTGGGATTCTCTTTCTAACATAATGCTTGACATTAAAAAGAGGTAGATGAATATTATTATAGCAGAGTTTAACTCTTAGATATTTCAGTGTCCATCAACTTGCAGTTGGTAATCAATTGCTATTACTATTACTTGAAACCAAGGAACCTGACTTGAAGAATGAAATTTTCTCTAAGCGCATAATCTATTGAGATGTTGTGGAGGTAATCAATTAATTGAACATTAAAAACTCTCAATTCATATACCCATACCAGTTTATTTATGTCAGCCTGTGTATTGTAATACTAAAGGTGTATAAATAGACATGTAAAGCAAAAACTTGCTGAATAATCTTTTTTGCGTTTTATTTTTTGTACAAAGCATCTTTTAATGATTCCAGTTACTTAGGTATTCTTGAAGGTATAATGTTCGTCTTTCTTGTACAGTTTTTTTCTTTAATGATGAATACATGCACCGACAACGATGTGTAATGAAATGTGTATAGTAAAATTCTTTCTGTGGTTTGAAAAATATTCAACTTGTACTTCGATTACTTTATCACAGCTTCAAAATATACAGTACATGTTTCCATTTGTGTTTCAAATAATACCTTATAAGAGGATTTATTGTCATGTGTTGCAGACATCGATTCATTGATTCAAAACTGTTATTTCTCTTAATAAGACAAGGCACATCTTCTTTTGTAAATTATTTTATTTTAAGAGCACTTGTTTTTGCGTACATTTTGTTGTTCTTATGCTCTAAATACGAAACAGGAATTACTCATGAATTGTAACACAAGGCAGAAAATAGTGCGTCATGTATTTGTGCAGTTGATGTTTTGTTTAAGATAAGAAGTACAGGTTTCAAAGTACTGTAGTAGTGTAAACAGGACTTGAGGTTATTTGAAATCTCTTTCTCTCTCCCTCCCTCCCCCCCCCTCCCTTTCTCTCTTTTTCTTTCCCTTCCCTGCTCTCTCTCTCTACCTCTGTCTCTG